AGGTTGTATTAATCAGATTAAATAGCTAACTTGTATAACTCTGTAATTTTGCATGGAGTGAAGGTGCCACTTGCTGTGTGGTTCCCTGATTTACTAACAGGTGATGCAATGGTCTCACAAGGGGCTGCAGCTATTTCCTCTGTTAATCCCAAACCGGTGTGCTCAGACCAGGGTGGAAAGATACTTTACTCTTTCCAGTCAGCTGTTCCAAAAGCACCTGGAAGAAGTGGTGGTTGGGTTGGAAGAGTTGCTTTGGGCTCAGTTTGTCTGGACCCATGCAAAAAAAACCTTTTGGTACTGAAAAACTCTGTGAACAGGTGTCCTTTTGCAGTTCCAGCTGTGCTGCTGGAGCAGACTGCCCAAACCCTTGATCACTTCTCTTGACTACAAGTGTGAGCGTAACAAATTTCTAATATATTTCCACGGAGAACCAGAGTAACTGAAATATGCTGAGTTGTTTGGTCTTTGCTAACTTTAACTGCCTTGGGATAGGGAGCTCTAACAAGAGCAGCTGCAGCTGCTATGAGTAGCTGGCAAGCAACAACACAGCTGTACGCAAAGTGCCTCCGTCCACATCCTTACAGTCTTTGCGGCTGCAATTAAAGATCTGACGATGTGGCCTTGTCTGATTCCCAAGTAATGCCAGCTCAGCATCAGGTGGCCACTGCCCACATCTGCAGTCAGCACTGACCTTGAAGACCTCGTTAGAGCTGAACTGCACTTGCTGCTTTTGCTGCGCTGGTACAAGGCAGAGCAAAAACAAGTGAGGGCTTGGGTCATCCTGGTGAGCTCAGGCTTGTGCTGCTCATAATGAGACCACGCTGTCCAGGCAGCTTGCTTTGTCCCCTCATCTGCTGCTGGCTGTGCTTAGAATTTGTGTTGTGATTTCTGTCCAGCTATTGCTGAACAGACAAGAGCTGGAGGAGGACCTTGTTTTTACCTGCTGAAGCACCTGAAGATATGGTTATTCATGCATGGTTGTTTGTACTACAAGGTTAAGAGCAGTGCTAGTGGGTCTACAAGCAGCTCTGGGGTGATGTCAGTCTTAGATGATGTAACTGTCATTTTCACATATGTCAGTAAGTAGAGATTAAACAGGCATAAAACCAAATTACCTGTTAAACACTGTGATCCATACCATGGTTCAGAGGACACAATTACACTGTTTGTACACTTAGGGATTACCTGAATGCCAAACTCTTACACTGTGATTGTTTTATGAATTGGCTTGATTTACAGTAAGCCAGTAAGTGAGAATTAAATGAAAAAGTTTTCAATGTAATTTGTTCTGACCTTGGATTTTGCAGTATTTGAATTATGTAAGCAGTGGATTAGGTTTGTTTAGAAATCTGAATCCCTTTGCCTTTAAGAAATGTTGTGCAGTCTGTAATCCCTTCAGCAGGACTCAAGAGAGGAACGTAATTTCATCCATACCTGGGATGTAAGTGCAGTATGAACAATTTTAGTATAGTTTGGTGGTCAGTAACAGGCTGTTACTAAGCTTATCAAGGCACTAAGCATAATATTCAACTCTGTTGCAGTTACCTTGTGTGACTGTGTGTCTGTGTTATGTCCAGGGAGTTTGTATTTATGTGTTTGGATGTCTTTCATTCAGCTGAACTGACACTTGTTCTGCTTCAATCCAACCTTCAAAAAAAAATTCCGTCTTTCACATAAAAAACTAATGTAATGAAGTAGTTGAATACTTGTTGCTTGTCTTCACTATTTAAGAAGTGGTGCTCATTTAACTTGCATGAGATAGATAGCAGCTTTACTGAGGGAAGAGTGTCATTGTCATGCCCAAGCCAGCAAGGGCTGACTTCTTCAACAGCTTGTAGACAGGTAGGTGCATGACAGGATTTCCTTCCAAGCATTTAGGAATTTTGGATTAAAGTACAGTTTTGATGCTTAAAGGTTATTCTAAATATTCTTGTTAGTGTCTAAGGGACCTTTGAAATACCAGTCTTTAACCACTGCTTTGTAATTTGCTATCTGAAAGTAATTTTCATTGAAATATGGCACCTTCTTGTCAAAGATAGTACAAAAGCTTCAAAGATATGAACTGGCTTGCATCTGATTCTCACTGTAAGGAATAAGAGTCTTTAAATTGGCTAATACAGTTCACAGCTGATCACAGCAACAGAAGAGAACAAAACATGAAAGGAATAGTCTAGAATCAGTAGTGCTAACAACAGTATAGTGATTAAAAGTATTTAGAGAGGATTTCTTTGTAATATAATGGTCCTTAGGAAAAGCTGGAAATTTTTTTACCCCACAATTCTTCATTGTCATATCCGTGGGCATTTAGAAGGTGCTTCTCTGGATTTCTTAGATAGAAGCTTGCATTGGTATCTGTTAAATCTGTTAAAAGATTAGAGTATGAACATCAGTGTGAAGGTTATGGTATTAGCTGTGGTCGACACAGCATTTTGTCGTAGTTCTGTAGTGTGATCTGAGTGTATATAACATAAATAAGATAATCTTAAAAATATTTTTTTGCATTTCCAAGTGATAAAAGCGCTGTGTGTCTGTGCCTGTGGCAGTGAAGTACTCATCTTCTTGGCCTCATCCTCATATTTTGATTGCAGTCCCTGTCATGGTAGCACTGGGTGATTGGTTGGTCAGGGGTTTGCTGCAGTGCAGCCCCTCCTGTTGTCCACTGACTCTGATGTGCTTTCACTGCATCCAGCAGCATCTTGTGTGAGCTGGAGAGCAGTCACTGGGTTCTGCACATAGCTGTGGCAGGATAGGGAGCTATGGAACTTGGATTTGTTAATCGTGGGGCATTTTTAATCATTCTCCGAAAAGATTCATCAAGTACTTGTTTTATAGCCAGGGCCTAAATATATTATGCTATTGGAAAATTAAATATGAGACCCATCAGTTTAATTCTAATGACCTGTAAGTACTTGTATTTTAAACACCATAACAGATGGCATGCTCACAGCTTTGAAGATGTGGTGTATTTTAAGTATTTCACAAGATGGTTTTATTCCATTCCTCTTACCAAGGTGTTAATGAAAAGGTGGTTTAGATAGGTTTTCTAACTGTTTGTGTTATTCCTGTCTCTCATCAGAATATTTAGATAGCCAGTCAAGGAGAGTGAGGTCTCCTGGTAATCTGGCAGTAATGCTGGTAGGAATTAGAGAATTGAAGGCCCAATTGAATATTTCCTAAGGAATATACAAACATAATACAACAGTTTCTGAGATGGAGATTTACTCAGTGGTCATCTGCATCCTCCAGCCTAGGGAAGGAGGTTGGAGTATAACTCATGACTTGTGCTACTGCAAGAGTTGCTTGTCTTGGGAGGATGTGGGGCTGCAGTTGTAGGGCAGAGCTCCTTCTGCTGGCAGATCCCCTGACTGGCTGAGTCTTGAGTGTTGCTGTTTACCTGCAGGTGAATCTTCCCACATTTGCTTAGATAGCTGCCATTTAAATTATTTTGTGGCCTTTTAGATTCACAGCAAACAGGAAGGCTATAGCAGTTTTTATGCAGAAACCCATAGTGCATCAGCTGCTGCTATTCTAATAAATTTAGAGCTATAGCAAACCAATATTTGTTTGGCCTGTGTTTTGTAGGTGGTACCAAGATACATGTGCTTATGTGCATAATTACAGATGAAGGCATTAGATGACTCAGTTTTTTGCTGTTGTTGCTTAAAGACTTTTTTGAGTAACTTCAGCACAGTTTTGAAGACTTTAGCTAATGCTCAGACATTTACACATATGCAATTAAATCCTAACTATAGCTTTGAGCTTAACTTAGGTTACAGTAACTCCTCATGCTGCTTAGCCTGCCCAACAAGAAAAACAGTATTACCATCAAGTGAGTAATCTTTTTTCACAATACCAGAAAATTACCTTTTAAAATGTATGCTGTTTTCAGCAAATCATACTGCAGACTGACTTACCTACAAGTCCATAAAATAAATTATTTGATCACATATCTGAGAACATGTGTGAAGACTCACCTGTGGGCAAACAGCAACACTCCCACTGCAAGTCAAAGGATCTGTGAAGGGATCTGTCAGATACTTTTGATAAGTTCTGGGGAGTTTATTGTGATCTTGTTTTTGTTAGATGCTCTTGCATGGTGTAGAGTTAACATTAAAGTCTTAAAGCATTACTGTGAAGAAAAATATAAAGTAGTACATATCTGTATTTGCATAATATGTATATTTGTATAAAAACATGTCTGAAATCTGTTAAATATTTGTTTTGATGCACTGCAGAGGTGAAACTGTTGAGAGACCTTCCTGGAAATACATGACCTTTTTTCTCAGAAACTGCAGGGCTTATATGTGTAAATTTCTGTGGATGCAGTCTCATTGTCTTACAGTCTCTTGCTCAAACCCAGCAGCATTGTTCAAGTTGAATTTGAAGGTTTTGTGTATTTATCCAGAATTGCCAAAGATCTGTAGTCTGCTTTGAGGAGCAATTTCAGCTGCACTGCTGGCTATTTGGCAATCTCAAGCATGCTTGCTCTGTGTATTTAATCAGACTCCACAGCGCATGCCTGGAAATTCCACATTTCCAGTAAACATTGGATGGAGCTCTGTGTGCATGGTATGCTGTAACAGCCTGGAGTGCTGGACTCGCTGAACCCATGGTACTTTGTGCATAAACACAAACTCTGGATCGGACTGCTGCTGCTGTGCCAAAAATCCCACATCTTTCTTGGAACAAAGTTCTCCAAGATCTTCAGTTTTTCCAGAGACTTAACTTCCTACATCAGTGCCTTGGCCATGAAAGAATAGTCTCACATCTATTTTTCCCACCCCCCCAAACATACAAAGCATTAATCTGCCAAACTTTCTCACTAGGTTTTCAAATGCCAAGCATTTGTGAACAGTCTTTCCTAGATATGTGTGTGCTTATATATATGCACATAACATGCTGTATATGTGTATATGCAGTGGGGTATGAAATAAGCTATCATAGTAAACGAACCATTCTGAATTGTCTAACTTGTTTGTTTATTTGTTTGTTTTCAACAGGCAGAAATACTCAGTGTGCTCAGTCACAAAAACATCATTCAGTTCTATGGAGCTGTCATTGAACCTCCAAATTATGGCATAGTTACAGGTAAGGATTTTTGTCTGACCTTTTTCTCGACTCTGTAAAGTTGCAATGTTACAAGGTTATCTTCAGTGTTACTCAATTGCAGTGTTTCATTAATTGTTCTGGTTTTCTTTAAATGTTAAGAGTGCTTGGCACTACCTGCCTCAATGTGATTGGGAGTGCAGGAGGTGGGAACGTGTCTGGGAGCATAGCTGGAGGCAGCATGGGGGCAGGTGAGGCCTAGGGTGTTCTTAGTGCCCAAATGCAGGACTCCTTTAAACAGTACCTTCACTGTGTTCTCTTACCCTGTTTGGAGAATTGCTTTCTCATTCTAATTGGTGTGTCACAAAAGTAGAGGTTCTCATGATACAAGTTCTGGCTGGTTCTGTGAGGAAGGCGGGCTGGGTGTCTGCTCAGAGCCAAGCTGCCCCATGAGTTCTGCCTGCACTGAAAGTAGGAGAATTTGCATTGTGAGGTTCCCAATGGGAAGAGCTTGAAATAGGGTCAAGGGTTAATAAGGCATTGTAAGACAGCTCTCTTTATACATAGGAAACTAGGTTTTGTTTGTTTTGATATTCCTAGAATTATGCGGAAGTTGCTTTTTGTGTTATTGTTGTGGTATTTTGTTGATGGGGGGTTTTTTTCCTATCACCATTTTAAGCTTCCTGCTCTTATCCTGGGAGATGGTCCAGATATAGAATTTTCTCCCTTTCCTGTATGGGACAAACAACGTAAGATAGGAGTAGAAAGTAAACCCAAAGCAAAGACATTTCCCAACTGCTCAAACAAATGTTTGGAGAGATAAAACCCATGAAAGCGTGGATTAGGAGGCATGTTTTGGCATGTCTCTAACTTTCAAAGCTCAGTGTGAAGGGTAGTCTTTTGCATGTGGCACAATCTAACACAAATTTGAGTCACTGCAAGTCAGGTTTTTGTTGGTTGGTGGTCAGAACTTGTGAAAATTCAGTTATTTCTACCTGCCTCTTAGACTTCTGCTTATCACAGCAGATGGCAGTGTAATCTGAAATGCAGCACATTTCAGGGCATGGGGAGCTTTGCTTACCCAGGAGTATCAGCCTACTGGAGGTCATGGTGTGGCAGACAGCATTCCAGAGGTGCATGGGTGACCACAGTCTGCACCACTTAGAAATGCACTGATGATGGCATATAGACAGGAATTTGAATTCCTTCTGAAAGCAATAAAATTAATAGAAAGCCAATAAATCAAGCAATGTAATTTTACTATCCTTTTTAATGTAAGTGTAAACCAGCAAGCAGAGTAGCAAAGGAGAGGTGTAATCAATGACCTGGGATGATGTCTAGATCAGAAAACCTCAGGTTGATCTTGTCAGTGTTTGGAGGGCATATAACCTGCTTACCAGTCACAGGACAGACAGCAACTGAAGTAATTCACTGTGCTGTTGAGAATGGGGACTCTTTAGCTGCCTGTGAGAAAGAGACTAAGGTGTGTAGTTCAACAGATTTGTTCCACAGGGAACTCTGATCACACCTGGCTAAAGAAGAAAGAGGTTTGGGGGTTTCTTAGCAAACTGTTGATTCTCCCTGCAACTTCTAAGGAGACTGGAGTCCTGTGGATTGGAATGGAGGCAAGGCTCCATTTCCCCACACCATTTTCAAATGAGAGAATGGCTACTGATAAAAGAAATGTTAATTACATTTCAAATGTCTTTTAGAGGGGTTTTCACTTTGTGATCTTCTGGATGGCCTTCAGTGTTGCAGACAATCCTGTGTTTAGTCAGAGATTCGTTTCTTGAGAGAGAAAATCCCAAATAAGAAGAAATCTTGAGAAATTAGTGTTTCTTCAGAGTGATGGAGATGAGAGCATTCAGCCAAGTACTAGCATATACTGAGCATTAGCTGCATGTAATATCTCATGTGGAATTAAAAATATGTTTTCCTCCTTGGATGTATGTCAGTGTTCCAGCTCATCCTGCTGCCTTGTGAGCTGCTGTCATGGATCCCATCACTCTAGATGTTACTGGCCATCTCTCAATATGTAGCTTTCAGATATGGCTTTTGGTCACAGCACCCTCATACCAAAAGGTTCTCAGAGCTTGTGCCCCCAATGCACAGAACCATATGTATGCCACCACATCACAGGGTGGGTCCGGGAAGGCAATCAGAGCTTTTCTTTCTAAAGCAAATGTTTCTTTTCCATTATTTGCAAAACTGTCCTTGCAATATGCTTTCCAAATCCACAAGCTCCTAGTAAATATCTGTGGCACAATAAATATATTTAGAAATATATTTTTAGAAATATATATTTATAAATAGATAAAGAAATACTAACAGTGGGGCATTGTTGAGTGAAGCTTACTTGCCTCTGTTCACACAAAGTGGCAAAGGGCTGAAGGAGCTGAGTTGTCCCTTGACCCTGATGGATCGAATTATGCATTGTAAAGGCATGCAAAGCATGCAGCCAACCTGTTCCTGAAGAATCCATTTATAAGACAGATAATGACATCATGGGTAAAAAAAGCTTCTGTTTTAATTGTGGAAATGTGCAGGTCAGCAGTTTACTCCTCTCTCGGTGACATCAGAAGCAACACGTCTGTCCTTGCAGTGGGAGGTTGTGCAGCAGTGATCCAAAGCTGACTTGCACTTGAGTGTTTACTTTCAAAGGACTTGCTATTTTCTCCCTCTTTCATTTAGCACTGGAGTCTTCCCATCTGACCTGCCACATTCTAGGCTGCAGATTCAGTTTGGTCTCAGTTTCCTTCCCCACGCAGTGATCTCCCAGTGTTTTTGATTTCTTTGGTTAGGCACAATGGAAATTTTTGTATGCATTTACACTATCATGTACCAATCATTGATTAATATTATTATTAACAACAAAATTCAGACACATTTTATAGTCTTAAAGGCAGTGATTTTGTGGCTGCTTTGAAATAATATGAAGATTTTGAGAGTCTTCTAGGTAGGTTCTAAATTCTGCCTGAGAAGCACATTGAATAGCCTTGGGAGAGAGGGACAAAAGGTTTAAGTTGCTCCTCGTATCCCCCTGGTCTTTGTGCTACTTTTGCTGCACTGGGTGGCATCTGTCTTCCCTGTCATTGCAAACAGATAAAAGAAAATGTATCAGCTGTTTCATCTTGCAAACCTCCTGTTGTGTTTTTGGTGAAACATGAATGAATTCTAAATAAGATAAAACTTATTTCTATTAATATTTCATATTAATAAATGCCAAGCAGAAGAGCTACAGGCTTTAAACTGCTGCAGGTCACCTGCAGCACTAGAAAATCTGTCCTGCTTATCTCAGGGTTAGGCTTCTGGTTTCATCCTTCTGTTTTTTCATGAACAAATTATTTGATCTGCTGTTCTGTTTCTCCATGGGGAAATAGGAAACTTTCTACTTGCAAACTCTTTGTTTGTAACAGAACATTATATATTTAGCATGTGGCTTTACTTAAAAAAATAAAAGGAAAAATTGTGGGTTTTTTATGGGGCATAATTTATACACAGTACTGCTTACCAGTGGGGAGTATTCTGTGATTTTGGAAACAATGAGATGAGTCTGATATTGCCAAACTCATGTGTTAATTGTTCTTCTCATCAAGAGTGGCTTATTCACTGTTTAAAAAAGTAACAATTTTAGGTTATATGAAAGTAGTACTGTAGAGATTTGAGTTGTCTCCAGTTTCACTCCTAAATATGTGTAGGGCTAACTAGCTTGTTATTCCTGCTTTAAGCCCCACAACTCTGACAGTCAGACTGGATTCCTTCTGCCAAAGTTCCAAACACCAGTGGGCCCCAATTGCCCTTGTTTGTACCCCAGAATCCTGCTGTGGGATTCTGTAGGTGCAGTTATAGGAAATTAAGAGAAGCATTTGCTTGTCCTGACCAAGGAGCATGCACAACCTTTTACTCTGGAATTTGAACTGCTTTGCCTGATCATTCTTGATGCTAGACCTTTCTAATGCCTTTTCATTTTAATGCCTGTTTTTCTATATGATTACACTTTTTTGTGTGTTTTTTCATTTTTTGTTAGTAGTAGCTTATGTCTGCATTGGGATAATCAGATAAACTCTCCTACTATACTGGTAATAATATTGGGCTGTTGAACCCAAATGCTTTGTCATTAAGCCAGAGGACTGCTTTCTGGAACTGGCAGAGTTTCTATTATGTCTTTCAAGTTAGGTGCAATGTTTTTAAATGTCTTGTTTGTTGCTTTTTTTTTAACAGAGTATGCTTCTGCTGGCTCACTGTTTGATTACATTAATAGTAACAAAAGTGAAGAGATGGATATGGATCATATCATGACCTGGGCCACTGACATAGCTAAAGGTAAGCAACAAGAGTGGCATATACTGCCCTACACAGCCAGCAAATGTACAGCTTCCTTGGGCAGGAAAACCTTCCTAGTCTTTCTTATTGAGATGGTAACAAAACAAATCAAACATCTATAAATAAAAGAAGCAAAACCCATTCACTGTTCTTTTTAATACATTCCTTGTTTATTATGAATCCAAAAATATTCTGGAGTGAAAATAGCTTCTGTGATGAGGCAGTTCTGGTGTACCCCTAAGTCCCAAGAGGATAATTTTGCTGATGTCGTGTAATTATGAGATAAAGTGTGTAATTGACCTTACATTTGATTTGATTTGGAGCATTTAAAGAAGCTAAGGACTTATTCTCAGCAAACATACTGAAACTCTTCATATAATAATGAAGAATAAGCTGTTCCATCCTTTGTGTTCTCCGTGACTGACCACACAAGAATCAGTGTAAACTAATAAAAAAAAAGTAAATTCATATCTGGCTTAATCATTTAGAGACATCTCCTTAACTATATATTTAGAGAAAATAACTACATATGTTGTTAAAAACCATTAGCATATCCAAATAGATGCTCTGAGGGACACGTGAGCTTTGGTTAGTTCTTTTTACTCAAGGATGATGGGAAGCTTTGGTTCTCCTTCAGCACATCAGTATGGCACACAGGTATGGCAACTTGTAATGAGTACAACTAGTGGGAACCAGGAATCATGACTGCAGAAATGTGGTGGCCCTGCTCAGCCTGTCTAACCAGATTGTTCCTTTCCTTTGTGTAGGAATGCACTATTTACACATGGAAGCTCCAGTCAAAGTTATCCACAGGGACCTGAAGTCCAGGAATGGTAAAGCAGCAAAACTCTTGAAATGCTCTGCATTTACTGTTACCTGTTAATGTGGCATTTAAATCTGTGCCTGAGCTTTTTGAACAAGCAGAACTAATACCTTGGTTGTCATCAAAGCTGCACTTGCTGAGGCACAGAAAAGCTGATTTCCTCCTCCCCATCCTGAGCCTGTCTGAAGTTCCTTACAGACCTGGCATCATCTAGAGCACTGTGGAGAAGGCTCTTCCAACTTGTGTCTTGCTGGCCATGACTGGCCATGAAAGCTGATGAAGCCTTCAGATACTGCCTGTGCACTCCTTACTTCTTTCTATCTGGAAAGGTTGAATACCAGGAAAGGCTGGCAGACACCAGACACAATAGACTGGATAAGCCTATTATTTCTTATCAGAAAATCTTGTCTTGATTGTGGCTTTTTTTGAGGTTTGACAGATATTCAGGCTTTTGAGTCATACATATTCAGTGTGAAGTCTGTACTTAGCAGTTGACAGTAGTTTCTGAAATTGCTGAACATTGCCTTTTAGATGAAACTTCTACTACTAGTGGTGGGATAGGAGAGGCACAGATTTTAATAATGCAAAGATTTCAATAATGTGTAATAGTCAAGAAACATCCAGGTCTCACCTCGGTTGAAGCTTTTCTTCTTTTATTAATGACTCTTTCAGAGAGCCTCTTGTTGAACCTAACTGTTCTGGGGAAAATGATGTTCATCTGCGTTGCTGTCTTTTAACTCAGTAATGCCTGAAAGGTTTTGCATTTGTTCAGAGACTTGCAGATATTCAGCAGATGTTCTGTCAGCTTCTCAATGACACCAGGACAGGTGTGCACATTCAGATGCTGGCTCACCTTAGGGTCATTTGTCTTATTGAAAAATGAAGTATTTTGCTATAAAAATGTACTGGGCTTGCTTTTTGCATTCTTGTAACCTTTTGTTTTTTTTCATTTTCAGTTGTTATAGCTGCTGATGGTGTGTTAAAGGTATGAACACTTTAATTATTTGTAGAGGGATATTGCTGCTTGACTGGATGTTTCCATGTCTGATGAATGCAGAAGTACTCATTATACCAGTTTAATATTTTATTTATTTTTGCCAGATCTGTGATTTTGGTGCCTCAAGATTCCACTCCCATACAACACACATGTCATTAGTGGGCACTTTCCCATGGATGGCCCCAGAAGTTATTCAGAGTCTTCCAGTGTCTGAAACATGTGACACGTACTCGTACGGAGTGGTGAGTGCCTCATCTCACTGTGCATTGTGGCAGTTTGTCCGTGTGACAGAATTCACATGCTGCAACTACAGCAATTCTAAATAAGAGCAACAAGAAACACCGCAGTTTCTTCTAAGACTGGCGCATCATTTATAATGACATGCTTGAAAATGATAGGAAGAACATAGCATCTTGCATGTTTAGTAGCATCTGATTAGATTAGCAGCATGCCAGTGTAGGAAGTGCCACAATTATTCAGCATATGTCCAAAGGCTTTCAGGAGCTACTGAAAGCATCATGAATCTCTGCTTGTGTTTTTTTGTTTTTGTGGAACCAAAGAGAAAAAGTTTGTCTCGTAATAGGGGGGTAACATTAGCATTGCGCTTTCCCCAAAATAGAGTATCACTGATTTTAATTAAAAAGCAACTGCTCTTTTGCTCAATTGTTTAAAAGACACTGCTGTAGCTATGATATCTTATGAGAAATCCTCTGCTAGGATTTTTCCTGTCCTGAGGAGCTGAGCGCTCCTCTTTCTTTCCTCAGGAAAGAAAAAATCCTAGCAGAGGATTTCTCATAAGATATCATAGCTACACACTGCTATCACTTATCTGTGAGAATAGACCCCATCTGAAACTATAGAAGCCCAGCACTGCTTTACTGAAGGGTGGGGAATCAGGTATAGTTCATAAGAATGTCAGGTTTTTGTATTCGGTAATGTGAATTTCTTTACTCTGTCCACAGTTAAATTCTAGTTTAGTTATTCTCTGCAATACCAAGTAGGCTAGAAATAGCCCTGCTGGTCGCATCTGTGTGCCTAACCCCATAGCCTCTCTCTGGAAGAGGACAGTAAAGAGTATTTCCTTTGGGGGCAAAGAAAAGGAAGTGGAGCTCTAGTTTGCATGCATATTGGTTCATTAACCATTTTTCTGTTTGGATTCAGCAGTGGGTGGCAGAATGAGAAATTCTTCATTACCTGCCAAGTATTGTCTCTTTCTCTTTGAGGAATGGGAAGAGGTAGATGTGAGGGAGGCATTGTGGTTTTAAGCTAGCACCTATGGCTGCTGTCTCAGTGGAGGGTGACTTAAACTTTTTGCCAAACAGTTGTTTATAGTGAGAAGAATTTTTGAGACATGATGTGACATCACTTATCAGTGAAAGTTTGCAAGGAGCCTATACTGTCAGATTCAAAATCCTTGCTTGCTTAACTGAACTAGGTCACAAAGAGTAAGAGAACAAAAGCTAACAAATGTAAATATTAATGTAAACTGTTACTGGAAGCAATCACATATTGTCCAGTGAAGGGGAACATTGCAGTTTCAAAACTGAACAACAATGTTAGAGAAAAAATTCCAGACATGGTTTTATAGTTCAGACTTCTCACATAGTCATCCTAGTTTGAACTAAGGTAATGTTTTCAAAACATTAAGGTAATGTTTTCAAAGTGGGAGAAGGTAGGAAATTGTTTAATATCTTATCATGTCAAGTATTAGCAGTGCCTTGGGAACTGTTGTGAAAAGTTTATTTTACCTCATTGAAAAAGTCAGGTTCCTTTGACAGTTCTGTGCTTGGAGGTAAAACTGAACTATCCTCCTTATGAAAACAGTTCAGTGTTACCAGAGTTCTTTTACATTGTTGTGGGTATGTAGTGCTACTTTAGAATGTTTAGTAATGACCCATGATTTTTTATATATTGTTTTTAAATTAATGTGTTGTACTGTGGGTAGAAGCTTATGAATTCATAAGCACTTAGAAGTAATTATTCTTTTTATAACTCTAGTCTTGGAACACCATCATTTTCAGAGGAGATAGACAGGTAGAAATGAAGAATGGCAGTGGCCAAGTTCTCTGTTTCTGAAATAACTAATATTAAGGGGTTATACCAGCATGAAATGGCCTGAATATAACACTGAAAGTTGGAATCTCCCTATAACAAGTGTTATAACTACCAGGGAAGTAGCTAGGGGTCTGAAAACAAGGAATCTGAGAAAGGGTATTTTTGTCTCTTTAAGTTATTATCATCTATAAAAACAAAATGTAAAGAATCCCTTTTTGAAGCATAACACTTGCCAGCAGCTTTTGTGCTAGAGAGACAAATCTGCTTTACTTCAGTTAAAGTCCTCTTAACAAAGAACAGAATCCTTTCAAATGTAAACTAGTAAGATGCTAGGAATAGATATTTCATTTGCAGTGTTTGTCATCTTTCCCGTGGTTGTCTTTAATTTCCTTTCTTCTATTTTTTTATCTGACAGTCTTTTCTTTCTACAAACCCATCTGTGATTTTAGATACTCCGCTTAAGCTGTGCAAGAGCTTTTTTCCATGAAATGTTGAAGTCTTTCTGCAGCCTCATAGGTCTGAGCTGCTTCTCAGCTGAAATGAATTTTCCTTTTTGTGAACAGTTGTATACGTGTTTGTAGCTAATGTTTAGATTAGCTTGTCCTGCCTTTCATGGGTGGTTAAACAGGCCTATGTATTCTCTGAGATACATAGTCAATAATTTATAATACTGTCATAAAATGCTAAAGCTAAATTTTCAAGGAGAACCTATTACCACACAAAGACAGACCTTACACTTTCCTTCAGCCGTGCTGTAGTTCCCCTTTCTGATCCATTTCCAAGTCTGTAATCTAAACAACTAAAACCAAGTGTAACAAGTGATCAACCCTGAAGCTGACTTGTATGTCACTGTGTGTTGCTCAAAAATTATTCCTTGCCATCTCTGTCATTCCTTGCTATCTCTGCCAGATAGGAAAGTGTATGTGGAATGACAGTGTCACTCTAAAAGCTGTTCAAAATCATGAAGACATATGCTCAGAATATATTATCCTGGCAGAACTGTTTGTAGTGCACCACAGTGTCTGTTTGTGTATCAATATAAATGTATTTAATCACAGAAAGCTCATCCGATGTAGTTGAATTATTTTATCACTTACAAGAACAAATAAGTAAAACGATTAATTGGCTATTGGTGGCCTAGAGACTGCCATTAAATGTAGCAGCTGTTCAAACACTGCTTTAGTTATGAGAACATATGTTATTTATAGAGGGAATGTTGGCCAGCTCCAGGGGTTATCCCTACTTGAAAAGAATGATGCGATCTCTAACTGCAGTTGGATCAATGCAGAGAAGACAGACCTAATTTTCATGCCTAAGGGCAGTACCTCTGTGAGTGCAATGCTAATGCTTATGCTGTACCTCTGCTAACTGTGGTTCCTGACCATTGTCTGTGAACAGTTTCCTGCCAGACAAAGCATTTTTTTTTCAGCAGCGAAGGTGTTCAGTGTGTTTTGTTTTCCTCAGATTACTTACTTGGATGCTCCCCTATCCAAATGGCTCTTTGAATCTTTGTTGGCTTTGCATCAGTGGGGGGACAGGGGATGGGGTAGAGGTGTTGTGGGTTTAGTTTTTCCTTTGGGTTGTTGTCACATAATTGAGAGGATAGGAATTGAAAGCACAGCTGAGCTGACATGTAAATGTGTGAGCTTTTTCTGAAGACCACATATTTCTAAGCATCAGGTTTGTGTACAGGGTGAACATTCATACATTTATCTCTCCTTTCTCTTCCTCTATATGCAAAACTGAGTCCAGCATCTTCAGAGGCTGCAGCTTACTGCACTATATTACTTTGCCTTACTTTGTTTTTCATAACTGTTTCTAGCTTGGCAGTTGGCTTCTCTGTGAGCACCTGCTGTCCATCATCACAGAGATGTGATGTGATTGGGAAAGCAGGTGATGCTCACCATCACAGGTGGGAGGGGAAGTGAACCATGTCAGTCTCAATCAGATTATACACCAGAATGGAAAGATAAAATAATGTCCGTATGAAGTGAGCTGGGGTGCCAATTCTGAAAATAAACAGAGAGTGCCTCACAATAGAGAGGCTGGGGTAAGTTAGGCTGAGGTCCTTGTCTGCTGCTGAATCACCCTGGGGACAGGAAGAGGCAAGTGAGAATGCTTTTTAAAAGACTGCTGATGTGGTCATTAACCTTAGCTGATGATTCAGGGTAGCTAGTCCATGAGAAGGGGTTGAAACTCCTGTAAAGCTGAACATAGAGACACGTCACGTTGGAAGGAAAGGCTTTCTCAATACATTTGGCCTGAATATGAAAATTGCATTGTTGTTAAAAAATTTTCTAAACCCGTGTAAGTAAATGCAAAGGTTTCCAACATCCCACTTTTGTATCTTTTACTTTGATTTATTAGTAAAATGAAGGCATCAAGAACAATCCTTCATATTGTGTCAAATTGCTGTTTTCCTCTTCAACTGTGTGCAGTCTTGGAAGAGTTTTTAGCTAGCACTGTTGGTTTAGGGAGGCAGTGATCTGTTTGGGCAGTGGAAATAAACACTAAAGGTGTCATGATAAAGGAATTCGGTGCAAAATGTTCTGCACAAACATATGTGCATGAATGAAACAAGACAGCTCTTAAAATTTACAGTCTTCTGAAAGAAAGATAGCACAGCAGTAGTTTTCCAGCTCAAGGCTCTTGAAGACATTTAAAATGTATTTCATTATGTTCTTTACTTGGAAGGTTATTTAGATACTGCTCTATCTGATGTGCAAACTTGAGATTTTTCCTCTGTAGTTTCATGGCACACTCCCAACAGATGAAGTTGTTCTGCAAGGCTGCTCAGCCACGTTTGATTTGGTCCAGGAACCTTTGTTTTAAACTGACTGTTTTATACACTGCTTTTTTTGTCTTAAGTACATGGGACTGGTAATTTTTTTTTTCCTTCCCTCACAATTAATTTTTTTTCTCTACCAGTAGAGAGGAGATAATTTGAGTTACAATTGAGGTGCCTTTTTTTCCTTCTGAAAGGATTGAACTGAGGCTAACAGGGTAATTGAATAGGTCTGTGATAGTTCTCCCCATATATTTCTAATTCTCAGAAAAACTGTTCTTCTTTTTCCAAGATACCCTTACCTTTACTAATCAGTCTTCTGACTTAAGCAGAATTATTCAAATAGGTCTATTGTTGGAGTACCCTGTTCACTTGATTAAAGGCCCAACTCTGCTTCAATGCATTTTTTTGCTTGCCCTCCATCTGTCAATATTGTTCCATTTGCTTTTTCATTATCTTCATAGCTGTCCACAATCCAGTCAGAATGGTGCAGCTGGAATAAACCTGGGCACTAACCCAAACAGTGAGGATATAGAGACTTGTATAAGGATCTTAATGCATTGTGGCAAATCCTGCATTAAAGATTCTTTGTTGTTGTTGTTACACTTGATATATGAGCAGAAGAAAGTTTGTAGATATTTACAACAACATGTGTATATGAAAGTTTTGCTGTTAAAAAAAAAGGGAGACATATAAAAGTGAAGGTACCAAGTGCTATTAATTTGGTTGAATACCAATATATTGTCCCAATGGCATAAAAACAAGTTGGATTCATTGACTTGAAGCCTTTTTGATGATGCCAAACTCTTTTCTACAGAGTAGCTCAGATTCTTGGATACTGTGTTACCAAAAGGCTAAAAGCATGCAAAACTAGGAGATCTTTCTCTATCTAAGGACAGCATGTCTATAAAAACTCAGGGAGAAGAGAGTAATTTTTTATATGCTGTATATTGCTTAGTTTAATACGATCACATACTTGGAGATAAACAATTACAGTTTTGATTGCAAAATTGTATTTTTATAGGCATATCAAAGAAGCTAAATACCTTTTGGATCATATTCACTGGTTGCAATCGCATAGAAATATTTTTAAATGAAAAATTACTACAAAGCAAAGATATGCCTAGTTGGAGCTGAGAAGGAGAGGAAGAGCGTTGTCTTCCCAAGTGCCAGTTGCCAAATGTGAACTTTATTGTGTACAAAGATAGTAAAAAAGCAACCTAGTTTTTTCATCTTGGCTTTTCTGTAGAGGAAAAAGCAGAAACATTCAAATTAATTTTGTGAGAGGATCTTGCACACAAACACTGGTCCAAGTTCCTGCAAATGAAAACTGGTTGCCTGGTAATTGGATACAGAATAGAGCTGTATCAAGGTTTAATAATGTATTTAAAATACAAAGTACAGAAATAAAAATTCTTTTCTTTTTTTCTCTTCCAGGTTCTCTGGGAGATGCTAACAAGGGAGGTCCCCTTTAAAGGCTTGGAAGGATTACAAGTAGCTTGGCTTGTAGTGGAAAAAAACGAGGTAAGACTACGTTTCTACATTCAGGTACATAGATCAGAAAACAGTATTGGGGTTTTGCAAAAGACTTTTTCATCTTCTTCAAATTGAAAGTAAGTTCACGCGTATGGAAAGATTAGCAGTAGGAGCTAACACAAAGGGTCAAAGTGATGTTATTCCTCATGAATGGACCCTTTACATCTAATTGTTGCAGCTTCACGTCGTGATGCTGTAGATCAAAAATTGTACAAGTACTGTACTAGTTTCTCAGTCTCAATTGTAAAACCTAGGGGTTTGTTCTTAGTGATGAAAGAAGCCATTGCGTCCAAGGTAGGGGAACAGTTTAACTCCATCTCCTGCGTTTAGGACATCTTTTTACTGGCCGGGAGTTGATATATCTGTAAGAGACCTTCAGCTACTTCAACTTAACTCTCCCAGCAGGAGTCACTATAGTACAAGAAACTGCCGCTTAGATGAAAATTTCAAAAATAAAAGAAGAAAAAATAGTTTTAAAAAAAGAGAGAAATTACAGTTTTGCCACCTACGTTCAACACTACATTGAAGATGAGCTCCTCACTGGTATCGGCAAGGCTGTGGCATAGCTGCAAGCCTCCTCATGCAGAGTCTTTCCATTTCAAAAGCACTTCAGTGGTGTAAACACCGTTTGTACAGTGTCCCCAGCCTCGCTTTTCTTCTTCTCACAAATTGAGGCTTTCAGTTAGTTGGACATGTGAGCGTATATCTGAACACATAGTCCCTTGATATCAAAGACAGTAACTACATTTAAAAAACATTTAAAGTTGTGACTGTACCACACACAGACAAGCATGGAAATCCTCCACAAAGATGAAACCTCCTCTATCTAGACACAGCGGAAGCTTGGGAAACATTACAATGGCGAGGCACCGGCTGTACAATACAGATTTCTATTATTCTACATAAACTGTTTCTCAAAATGCTTCAGAGTTAAACACAGGAGTTAGGTTTCCTCCTCTTAGTTTAATGTTTTTTGTTGGTGTTTTTTTTCCCTCTCTCTTTTTTTCTTCTTTTTGAGGACTGGATTAATTCCAGTGAGTGACGCTGTGATATACCAGTTAGTTGGAAATGCTACACTAACAGTGTGAAGATTGTGAATGTGGTCTTCTACTGCATTTATCAGAGCAGGGGGCACAAAGACACTCTTTCTCCTAGTCCAGGAAAAGCCTTACACATAATTTTGAAGGAGGAACCATAAAGCCTTCCATCAAGAGTATTTGGCTCTTGTGCCCACCACATGCAGTTTTATGTAAGGGGTACAGAGTCGCATTGGGAGTGTTGTAAAGAGATGTAGTCACATGCTGAAACATGTCCATGAGTACAACACACATTTCTCTACAGTTTTCCAGAGCAAGGAATCGCATAAAACACAGCGTGAACAAAATGTAGACGTGACTATTTTACTAATGGCTGAAGAAACCTAAGGGGTGGCATTCTCAGAGCTAGCTCTTTGTCTGTCAGGTACCACTAGCCTGTTGCTACCATTTTTCTTAGAGGGCTGTGAAGGAGCTTAGAGGACATTGCATACTTTTAATTTTTTCTGGCCATGACATGGGTAACATGTGCAGCATAAGCTCAGATTGTGCCACTTTTCTTAGTTTTCCATGTCCCAAAACAAGTGTAAGGGTCAGGTTCTGCTCTCAGTTCAGTCTGTTGATATCAGTGGGATTGCATGGTCCCAATCCACAACAGTTGAGCTACTCCTCCATTTTTTGGATTGCAAGTCTTTTGTTAAAATCAGTGAGGGATTGAGGCCAAAGCATAATTGCATAAGGTGAAAAATCCCCTTTGTAAAGCCTGAGGCCAGCAAATGGAGTAGGGATTCTGATGTGTCTGTATGGATCTCCTTTGACACTATGCATAATTTCACACTGTTATTTTTATTCTGGTAGAGATTTTTTTTAAGCCATTTTTTTATGAAAAGCAAAGCATGTGAGTTCAGGTTATGCTAGACATGATTTCATAATAAATTGCCACTGAGAAATGTGTTCTTTATTATAATATGACATTTAGATCCTTCTACCTCTATATTACATATTATGTAGGTGACATTCTTCACAAGTGAGACAAGTGGTGATTGCTACTGATTGTCCACCTCCTGGAACACTGAGGGTTACAGACAATTCTGTAGCAAGACTAGCCAGTGTATTTTTAGGCCAATGACTCAATTAGAGATCAGGCACCAGTGCAACTTATTTATGCATTGTACAAATTTCTGTGTACTTCTTCCACAGAAACCCTTGCACATTAAGTTATGACATTAATAATCAGACTTCTGCAGTGCCCTGCCTCTGTGTCTCATGTTTCCAGTTCTTAGAGGGTTCAGATGCTTTTTGGAGCAGAATTTAACTCTTACTTTTGGCTGCTGTGTCTTTTAAGGTTTTGCAGGTTACACTGCAGTAATGTAACGGCACAGAGTCCCATAACTTGCTCTGCTTTGCTTCTGAAATGACAATAGTAGGGCAGATGAAAGGGTCTTCCTGAGAGGATAGTCTGAACAGGAATGTAATACCTGGTTCTTGCCTCTTAGAGGACAAGAACCCCTTTTCCAGCTTGACCCCTCTGCTTACATTTGGACTCACTTTCACTGAGGTTTCCTATCTAACTTAAAAAATTATTTATATAATATGAAACATCTGAAGTCAGGTAACAGCTTCAGTGAGAGCAGAGGGATCTCCTTCAGTGTGTAATGTTGGAAGCATGTGCAGTCAGCTGGAGAGGCTTCAGTATCTGTGTGTGTGCACGTGAGAAAGGATATGCTTTTAGGGTTTCCAGTCTGGAGGCAGGCTGTTAATGTAAAAATCTTCTAATTTAAAACTCTCAGCAAATGGAACCAAACTAGCTGCAAACTAATTCTCTGTAGTCAGTGGTCCTGGCTATAACCAGCAACTCCTTGTCTTCAGTCATTAGGAAATATTTATGAGTTCACTGTGCTCTGTGAGTACTTTCTGAGATCTGCATGTCCTCGTTAATCCTTCTGACCACAGGCTCATGAAACATCTCTTGTGTCATGTTGAGCTTCACTTAACTCTTTTTAACTCACTTAATGTAATCTATATTTCAGCTATTTGTGTGTCAAAAGTGATTATAGTATTTTACAGCTAGATCATTTATGTGGGAGAAAGGAATTAAGGCAGGCTGTACATTATGGCTAAATGACAAGCAACTTAAAGTACTACGCAGTAACCTCCACAAATGATTATGTTTTAGTATTAAAAGCTGTTTGTCTTGATTTTGCTTCTTCTCTCAGCTTTTTTAAGGAACTCCATTTGTGCATTTGACATGTTACTTTCTTATAGTTCTATTAAAAATTGTGTTTCTTGCTAGTGGTAGTAATTTTGATTTTTCTTTCTAATATGTCTCCACATTTTTTATATTATGTTTAAAAGAGAGTGTGCTTTTGTTCTTTGAAGTCTATTGGTCTCATAGGAAATTGTTTAGTAGCAGCTTAAAGGGAAATGCTTCCAGTAACTGGTACATTTTCTTTCCATTAGAGATTAACCATTCCAAGCAGTTGTCCCAGAAGTTTTGCAGAACTGATGCACCAATGTTGGGATGCTGATTCAAAGGTAATTAAATGTGTGTTTGATTTCTGTACCACCACCCCAATCTTGTTTTGCAAAGCGCATTAGCATTTTTTGGGAGACAAGTCTGAGCTGACACCATTGACACATTTCTTGACAAAGATGCCCAGGACTGTTGTGTTTTTTTAGTGTGTTTATATATTTATACCTAAAAAACTCTCTCTCTCCCTTTTAATCAGGAGTTACTATGCTGCTAACTTTGTAACTACTAAAGACAATGACAGGGAATATGGTAAGATGGCAAAAATGTAGTGATTTTGGAGCAAGTGGAAAAATTGTGGGTTTTATATTTTCTTTCAAAGGTTAATACTTAATCCCTCTTGGATATATATGAGCATCGTGTTATGAAATACAAATCTTAAGGTCCAGTTCTGTGCCTTACTGGTGTTGAAAACACAAGCATAAGTAAAGAATAAATTAATCCATAAAACATGGGTAGGAGCAGCAGCAACACATTCTAAATTAACATTAAACCTTTCCTAATCTGTTCCCTTAGGGCTTGAATGGTGAGCTTTATAATGATTGTACTGTAATAATATGATAATAGCAGTGCTGTTTAACCATGAAAACAGAATAAAAAGTTAAAAGAGCTGCACCATTATTACTGTTAATCTGCTGCTACAAGGAAGGGATTGAATAATTATTTAGACAGTAAAAGCTATTGTAGATTATGAGAGTTACCTTCTTTAAATGGACTTTGTGACCATCCTACTGTACATGAAACAGGCTGAAAAGAGCCTGTGGGCATGCTAACTTTAGTACCAAGGATTAACATCAATTTCCTTTGCCTATGAAAATATTTGAGATATTAAAGAATAGTTAAGCAAAGGAAATTGTGCTCTTTTTTTCAAGTCAAGGCACCAGGAAGAACTTCATTTCTTTAAACTTAAAAAAAAGTTAGCTACTACTTCACAGAGACCAATATTAATTCCAAGACAAATGAGAACATTAGGTGCTCTAAACTAGAATTTATCACCATAGAAGAATAATATGAGAAAGGAAATATGCATTTTTGGTCTCTCTTTTAAAAGCAGGGGGTTGCTTTCCTACAGAATGGATCTGGAAGACTGAGATCTGTCAACATGTGATTTCCACATGAAGACACATATAATTGCCATTCTCTTAATAATTCCTTGTATCCTCCCCACAGAAGAGAGGGGAGAAAAATGCTTGAAGTTTTTGAATCTACAAGTAGGCTGCTTAAGTTCTAGGTCAGTAATTACTGAAGAGGACTTTCAGTGCCGACTGCTTATCTTTACTAACTGCTCCTAAGTGTCAGCATCACTACCAAAGGCCTCAGAATAAGAATTATTGGAACTTCTTTTCTGTAGTTGTCACATACTATATCAGCTCAGTCTGCCTTGTTCGAGCCTCATCCATAAGTGTCCAAAAGACTGTTACTGTTTCTCGAGGAGAGGGAGGGATTTTCATGTTGTAAAAGAATGATGCTTAACTATCAGGCTGAGTTCTGTCTGATAGAGTAATTTATCTGAGTGTGGGCTGGTTCCTGGAGACATTATTCCCAGAAGTCATGCAACTGTGAATCTCATGTGAGATGGGGTTTTTCTGACAGTCTGCTCTTCGCTAGTTTTTCTCATGCAGCTCTTCTTCTGTTAGGCAATTACAGCTTTGTTCACATGACTGAAATGGAGTAATCTGTGGTCACAATTTGGACATGTGACTGACTTATTCAGTCACGTGCTGGGAAAGGTTTGCTACTTAGAGCTCTCAGAATGCTTTGATAAAGGGCTGTGTGGCCTGCATGAGCCAAAAGATGGAGCACGCTCCTCTGAAATACGGCTCTGTGTAGCATTCCCTTTTTGCCAGGATTAGCTTTAGAAAATCAGATCGTTGATGCATGAACAAGTTACTGAAGGTCAAGCAGGGGTGAGCTTGAGTATGTCAGCTGCTCAAAAGCAGTTGCTAAGGTGCATACTTCTAGCTCACAGAAAGCATGAGGTAACTTTTGGTGGCTTACCCCTGAGAAATGAGGGATATGCATTTATGGTGGGGCTAAGGAATACACTTGGAGAGCTGCTGCAGAGCAGCTGGAGTGTCAGACACTGCTCACACCATAATTTCTTCATGGGCACAGACAGAGTTATTAATGTTGCTTTGAATTCTTAAGAATTTCTTCACACATGGAGAAAAATATCTGTAGTGCTCCACGTGATACTTGGAATGGCAGTCTTTATGCAGTTTAAACTGCTAGTTGAAGCAAACAGTTCACACCTTAAAATTTCTACCAAGCTTTGCTTGGGTATTAGGTAATTGTTAGAAACAAGGTTGCTCATCACTGATGTCTTTGTTTACTGGGGTTATTTGCTTTTGAGTTGTAAGTGAATAATTCTTTCTCATTTCATCTGTTCCTTCAGTTTCTCTCCACATCAAAGATGTTTATAAATTATAGAGTATTTTAATGGAAATCAGAAATCTGGGAACAGAGAAGAAACAAAAAATGAAAGACAAATAGATTAAATATCCTGGTTTTATGGAGACCTATTCAGTAAGAAATACTGAGTGGAAGAAAACAATGAAAACATGAGCCAGAATTATTTCTAGAGGGGCATATATTTTAAAGATTTCAGTATGAGACATCACAGATATAAAGGGAAACAGTTTTCAAAGGCGACTCATGCCTTGATATTTTAAGAATCCCTTATAAGGGCTTTCTAGAAAGTGCTAAGCAGTTACCAACTGAAAAGAAGATTTTTTTTTTTTTAAAGTTTCTCAGCTCAGGCTCCCAGTTTCCCAAATCACTTCTTGCCAGTTTCAGCCAAGGTACCACTCTGCATTTAGAGTGCATTTATTAAATCTGAAATTATCCTTTCCTAGGGTCAAGAAATCAACAAAACCCATGTGACAGTGTTGTGCCTTCCTGTCAGGTTTGTCTCCATGCAAAGCTGCTGCCTGTAAATCTGGCAGCTGCAAAGCTGGCAGGGTGACTGCTGGCTGTTTACAGAATTTGCACAGCCAGAGATGTACAGTACTTTGACATTACTGCGTGACTCTGCATTTGTTCCAGCTCCAGTTGCACCAGCTCTGCAGCCCCTTTGCCTGTAGCACAGGACCCACCACGTGATTGTTGCTGCTTCTCCCAAATCAGTTGGTTGATCCTTTTGCCTGCCCTTAGTAAAAGCCCTGTTCTGTCATTGTTTCCCCTCTGGTTACTCCAGGCAAGCCTGATCGTAGAGCGGACTGTGCTCACTTAGTGTCAGCCCTGCCCTATACTTCCCAGTATACACCTGAGAAAAAAGGACCAAGAAAAACTCATAGATGTGTTTTGTAAATTAACCTGAATAGTCCATAAAATATTGTAGATAATGCAGCATGGGAATGTTTGCCCTTGTTGTCTTCGTGAAAATGGAATTGGTTTTGTATAGGCACATTATGTACCTGCCAGTCTGTTGGACAATGCATAGCACTTGCAGCACCCTGGTGAATTGCAGGGAGCCACTATCTCCTGTCTGGCAGCTTCCTCACCATTTGGGAGGCCCTTGAATCCCTTCAACAGTTCACATCCACTGGTGTGCTTACAAGAGATGCAGCTGTAGCAACAAAAAGGGTGTGAAGGCCAGTCAAAGGTTCTCTGCCCCAAAACTGGAGTCAGTGGTGGTGGTACCACAGATGGATTTTGTGTGGTCGACTCCTGACCGGGGAAGTTTGGGCTCTTCCCAGGGTGTGTTCAGAGGATCTGCTCAGCTGTGGCACGTCCAGCACCATCATGCACATGGAGGGGAGGACAGCAGCCTCCCCAGCCCCCTGTAAAGGCAGGGTGGCCCTGCTGGGTTCCATACAAGGTGACAGGGGTCCTGTCACCAGTGCAGGCAGTGTGCCTCTTAACCGGGACCTGTTGCTGTGGAGCTCTGCGTGCCCAGTTTGCCACTCTCTCGTGCTGGGCTGGGGAACAAATTGCATGAGCACTTGTGCTGGGGTGAGCGTGTCTGTGGCAAAGAAAATCTGTGTAGCTCCCTGAACTGCCCATTGCCTGAAATCATGGAGGTGGACCAAAAAATGACAGACAAAGCCTCCAGTTACAGCCGAAGAGTGCAGCATTACAGTATAACAGAGCTTGTCTCTTTTTTTGTTACGCATTTGACACTTTTTCATGCTGTTTGACATTTAAAATAAAGAAATTGTCTGTCTTTTATAATGTGGAAATCACTTGGATCTTCCTAAGAGAGACACCTCAGCATTGTTCCTAATTGTTTTTGTGCTCCCAAATTAAAATGCACGTTTTAATTGCGGCATCTGTAATTTTAGCAGAAATGGTATAATTAAAGGCACAGTAGAGAGAGAATGTGCATCATCCCCTTATTATGTATCTACATTTTGTTTCAACCTTTTGTCTCAACCTTGTCTGGGGTCTGTCAAACAGACTAACAGAGTCAGTGCTCTTTCAAGAAACACATTTAACTGGCTTTTTCAGTTTTCAGTTATTATCCTACTTTATGGCTTCCCCTTGAGACTAAGGGAAAAGTGAAAAAAAAAAACCAAAACAAAACCAAAAACACAGAGAAATTTTAACTGGTTTTTCTGACTTGTGAGCACGGTGAGTCTTGGATGGAGAACCCTGGAACAGAAAGTTCAGTAAATGAGCCCAGGACAGAAGGGCACAGAGTCCACTAACATGAGCTTAGCTGCCAGGCAAGACATCCTTCCCTAATATCAATCTTCACTTCTTCCCTGCCTGCCCCTGAAGTAGCTGAGACTATTTCTGAAAGTATCTCCTCTGCAAGAGGGGAACTGCAGCCAGAAACCTGTTTTTGATAGGCAGCTAAATGGCTTGTTCATACACCAAAGAGTTGATGTTAATACCTGTAAAAGACCATCTGTATAATTACCAGTTGCTGATGGTCCAGCCTTCTCTATGTGGAAGCATTTTCTCTCTTAGCTTGAGAAAAATTATTCTTTCAAATTAAGAATTTAGATGATTTGATGATTCTAATGTTTAATACTGCTTTACTAGTAGACATGGGAGACTAAGCTAAGGCTTGAGTCCTACTAGCCTGTGCAACTCTTCTCAAACTTTAATGGAAGAATAAAAAGAAATCATTTACAGATTTACAGTTCTCTTGTAGGATGCTGTGGTCAGAAAGAAGTGTGGCAATTCCTGCTAATTGTGGGGTTTCAGTTGAAAAATTCCTGCAGATAGTTTTAGTGGTTTTATATGAATACTAATGCTCTGTTTGGGTTTTATTTTTTTCTTCAGAAAAGACCATCTTTCAAGCAGATTATTTCAATCCTGGAATCTATGTCAAATGACAGCAACCTTCCAGACCAGTGTAACTCATTCCTGCATAACAAGGCAGAGTGGAGGTAAGTTTTCTTCCTCCCAGGATGACATGATGTGGTGGTTTTACATTGAAATGGTATGAGTGTTTTTTTCAGAAAGACATCAGACTCCAGTGATGTACTGGTAGAAAATATGTGTGCTTGAAGTATTTTTAGAACATAGCTTACCTTGTTGTTTTTCAGGAATGCCCAGAATGTTGTGAAACTTGTATTAGGAGCCAATGCACTTAGCTGTACCCTATATTTATTATTACAGTGGTTTAGGCATCACGATATTTATGGTTTTATTATTCACATCTTAAAACCGATTACAAGGTTTCAGTCAGTAGTGTGAGGGCAAAAGAACTGAGATAACATGTAGGTTTGATGCCATTTTCATAGAAAGTGTTGTTAATATTAAAACAAAAAAAGATAAGGGGCCTAAAAACCCCACCTTCCAAGTCAAGCCTCTATTTGTCCTCACTTTTATGCATTCTGCCATTTTTAATGTGTTCTCTCCTTTGTGTCAGCTGTGTTCACACATCCAGCACATGCCCATGCCAGTCCTGTTTTTTACAGTGTTCCAGCATTGCTCGAGCATATGATTTTAGCTATTGCTGATTGTAATTGTTATTCGTAAGTGATTATAAATGGAGATGAGATTTGAGACACTTTTATTACATTACAGTTTTGCAGTAAAACTTCCAGCCTCTTTTTTGGAATATGCCAAAACTTCATAAACCTGTCCCTGAGGCTTATTTGTGGGTTAAAAAACTTGCTGGTTGCCCAGTACAGCCTTCTGTTTGAGATGGAATATTGAAAACAGATCTGCACAGGGAGATGATTTTTGCAGATGATCGTGCCTCGGTCTATATTAAGAAGCGTTGACTCTATGCCAAATAAGCAGGGAGCACAAATACCGAAAGACTCCCTGCATCGAAGAAACCGGGACGGGGTGGAGGATGGGGAGGAGCGCATGGAAATGGAGCTCGCGTCAAGCCCGGCAATCCCGCGCTTCTTCCGCTGCCTTCCAAGGAAAGGCAAGACGTAGATTTTCAGTGGGGCGAGTGGAAAAACTGAGCCGTGCCTGGGACGCCCCCGGTCACACGGCGGGGTATAAATAGCGCGGGCCGGGCCCGCCCGCCTCGGCCGCGCCGCGGGGGCTGCGCGCCATTTGTGCAGACTCTGAGCGTCATACTGTGTGTTTGACAGCAGACAGAACACAAGGAGGGTTGGGGAAAAAAGTACATCCTAGTGAGAGGGTTCTTATATTAAAAATACTTATTTGAAAGATGGGCAGGTACTCAATTGCCTTTAGGGAAAGCAAATAACTACTTAAAACTTGCCAGTATAGGAAAATAAAAACTGTACTAGCTGACATTTGGTAACAAACAGTGTTTTACTTAATCAGTTTGTTTCTTGAAGTGTGACTCAAGTTGCCCAAGTATTTCTTGGAAATTTTGTTTTGATACACCTAAATTTCTCAGGCGAGGAATGTCTGAAAAGGTGTTAATGAAAAGGCATGTAGCAACAAAAAGCTCTTTGGTACTATCAAGTGATGAAAAAACTTACCATGGAGACTTGTGTTAAAAATAAATGTGACATTTTTTCTGGAAGAATAAATTACTTAGAGACAAGGAAATATGAGAGAGAAAATAAAAATTCATGATGGGACATGATTTGCCTGAGACCAAAGATGATTTTTGAATTGAGCTGAAATGAAAACACAGTGTTCAGAAAGAGCACAAATCATGTGGGCACTTGTTTGGAAGCTGGAGGGGTGCTCTCCTATCCAGATTCTGGTAACAGCTTCCTGCCCTGATGCGAAAGCCATATCTGTGTGGAAGCTTTCATGAATGTTTAGTCAAATAAACAGAAAGTATGCCAAAAATTTGCCACCTGAAATATATGAAAGATGCATTAAGTGATCCTGAAGGATAAACTAAAAGAGACTTAAATTTGTTACTAAAAACAACTTAGCACATTAGTTTAATGTATTTTAACTTCTGCGTTGAAAAATCTTTGTTTTTACTAATTTTTTTTCTTTTTTTTTTCCTTTTTTTTTATCCCATCCCATAGTGATTTGCAAAGAAATAGTGAAACCAGCGTAGGGAAAGTATGATATGTATTACCACAAAATAGAGAATTTTAATGAAGCCTGTATATCGGAGCCCTGGAGAAGGGTGGGCTTGGGAAAAGCAAAAATTGTGCTTGTTCCTTTGAGGGACGTCCAAATTAATGATCCAGATACTGTACTTTCACAAGGATTCTGCACTTACCAAAGCAAATCAAAGCTCAGATAAGCTGGATTGTGTTTTTCCCCACTCTTAAAAAAAAAGCAAGCTGAGGTCTTTTTTGTATAGACATGCCAAAATTGTAGCTGTAACAGCAAGTAACTGGAGTCTTCAGTATCACTGACTGGCTGGCATGAAAACTGGGAGTGGGCTGAGTCTATACATGACTGCTGGAGTTCATAACACAAATGATGCTTTGACTTATCTACATAATGGGATCTTATTTGCAACATTTTCTGGTATTCATTTTTATATTAATATCACATTTTGATCTGCTTGTTCTGTATTTCCTTAAAATAATTCAGTGTCTTTTTTCCTAACTGCTCCACACACGTTCAGCACATTTTCTGTTATTAATAATATAGGGGCATTGCCTTATGCCTGGGTGGCATAGGTCTAGTTGCATAGGCCCTGTGTTTAAATTCATATTCTGTGATCTTCTTGGAGCCCTTTCTCAAGGCACTTGTACTACAGTCAGAAAAAATTATTGTAGGAGTAATGATGTTCCAATTCAGTGAGAGATCCTATTGTCTGCATTTAGTCATATGTACTAACTGCATCTCTCCTTCCATCCTCTCCCCACAAGTGGCTGCTCCAATGATGAAAATAGTTTATTAGTGATACTTACATTAGTGTATTAGTAGCAATTCAAGACACATAAAGAAATGCCAGTCATTGTTTTTAATCTGCAAATGTTTATCATTATAGTTTCTAGTAATGTATTAGTATTTGTTCTTCAGTGTCACAGAATGAAACTATTCTAGAAAAACCAGTAAACTCACACTGCAGAACTACAGAAGCAAACAAATCCACATGTCCTGCCATGTATAATGTTTCAAGCTGCTTCATTTATGGAGTAAGACTCATTAACTGGGCAATGTACAGTAGCTTTCTCTTTAATTACACAGTTTCATTATGCAGTGGAATTATTTTTCAGAATGCAACTGTTTTTGCAGACTAACCTTTTATTTTAAGAGAAGTTTCTGTCTAATGAAGGGAGATAATTACAGTGCAAAATAGACTTTTGACATAGAGAAAACTATTGTTACCAGGACTCCCCTAGCGCATAATATTATTTAAAAAGAGAATGTAATTTACATATTTAAAAAATTATAGAGTTGTGTGTAAGTAGCAGCGATGATGAGAGACAAACTAAGAAAAGCAGTGCTTGCAACTGCCCTCAAATTGCTCTGTAGTTTCCACAGCAGATAGCATAGTATGTGCTGCACCTGACAGAAGGGGTTTCTGAGGGATATGGGTGTCTGGGGACGAGTCGCTTTCTGACCTTTGGTCCAGTGCCTTTTAGTTTGTTCCCTTGTTGTCTCTTTATTATGATGTGTGACCTCTTTCTACCCAGCACAGGGATCAGTCTTAATTTATGCATGCCTAAATATGATAGAGAATTTTTCTTGAAATCTGAAGCACAATAATTACAAGTGGTATTTGTTCTGACCACTACACAGAACAGCTCATTCAGCAGGACTCAAGTGTGATAAATGCCTTTGCCCCCAGGTGGCTGATTTCTGCAGTAGAATTAAGCATGGTGGTAAAGATTGCAGTGGGATTTTCTGGTTATTCGACCTCTGAATCCTTTCACTGTACTTTTTAAGCAATGCTGTCTGTCAGAGATGTCTTATAAAAATGAGAAATCCATAGAATTTGGAATATTTATATTATTTGATTTGCTTAGACTCTTTGGGTATGCTATTTTCCCACACTGAGAGGCTGAACTTTTTTAGTGGAGAAGAGTTTAATCATTCCATGCCGGGACAGGAGATTTACAGAAACAAGTCTCCACCCCAAATAGAAATGACAGCTAACTCTGTTAGTCCTTCTGCTTTCTTTTTGAAAACATCAGAAGGAGCATGTTTTGTTCACAGTGTGTTAAAACACAAAAAATAACGTGGAAGTTTAAGCAGAATATTTAACCTTGCAGAGTCCAAATAGCTATCTTCGGAGCTCTTTTTAGGATTTCTTGTCTTCTTAAGAGCTCGCTTTTTCAAGGAGAAAAGCAGAACACTGTGATTGACTCTTCCCACAACTGTCAGAATACAAGTGGCAGGCAGTGCACAGTCTCCCAAAAAGGCACAGAAATGTTAAATGCAGGTACAACCTCTGATACTAATAGGAGATTTTTCTTTTTTTTACTCCACAAGCAAAATATATGTCTGAATTTGGTGACAGAATTGTTGTTCACCTTCTGTGTATTTGTGTGGTGCAAAACTTGTTAAACTCTTTTCTAAGAGCAGTTCAGTTCATGTGTTTAAAATATACTGTCCATCAGAAAGTATGTCAAAGGAAACTACTTTATTAAGGGAAGTATGTGCAGTGAAACCAAATAAAGATGGTATCTGCAACTTTCTTAGAGTACTGCTTTCATTTCCTGCCCTTCCTGATTTTCATAACTTTGCAAATATGGTGAGAAGTGGAAAAAAGTTAGCCAAAGCCTTCTCACAGCTGTTCCAAACTTGAGAACCTTGTATTTGTAACCACTTGCAGGGCTGGCTCATATCACAGTTTGTATTTTTGCTTTTGTATCTTCACCTAAAGAAATAGGAAGGTAAGTGGGGAAAACATTCCCCTACAAAATGCTTCTGTGCATTTTGAGTGTAAGTCCAAGTAGTATTCATAGCCAAGTTAGAAACCAGACAAATGGGCTTCTTGGAGTGCCTGTATTGTGTTGTTAATGCTTGTCCCATTAACAGTTCTTAATGCAGTTTCTTTATGGATCAGATCATGTTTCTTGATGTTGGGGGGAAAGAAGGCATTTTCATTTTAAAAATGTTTCTGTTATATGGTATTTTACTCTTTTAAATGTTATTTTTCTTCAACTGAAGGTATTATGGTCTGAAGTATAAACATTACCATTTGTTCCTAAAGCTGTGAAAGACTTTGCATTTGGTAATTAAATGAACTGCTTGAGTTAGTATTGTACTTTTCAGCCTTTCACATTTAATTAACATTCAGGTGGGAATTATGAACAATTTATATCTGTCAGGAAAAGACAGGACGTAACAAATTGTCTCCGTGCAGATGTGAAATTGAGGCAACCTTAGAGAGACTAAAGAAACTGGAGCGTGATCTGAGCTTTAAAGAGCAGGAACTAAAGGAGCGGGAGAGACGTTTGAAGATGTGGGAGCAGAAGTTAACTGAACAATCAAATACTCCTGTAAGTAGACAATAATTCAACCTTTCATCTTGTGTCAGAAGTATTTGGAGCTTTGTCTATGTAAATCTCAAGACATACTAAGGAAATAGTGTTCCTGGTCTTAGTTGCTCCTCTGGGCCAATTTTATTGCATCACTCCAGATAACAATATATTTTTTTTAATTTAATCTATGTATTTCATACATTCCATACCACATATTACTGATAGTTCATATTGTGACATGGACATTTTAAATAGTGTCCCATTGATTTATTTAGAGTTCTCAGCTTTAAAAATTGTTTACATTCAATAAATTCTTTTTTCAACTAGAAAGTTGTAGACTTTATGGAATGTAGGATTTGGTCTTAAAATGTAAGAATCATTTGTATCTTCCAGAAGGCATGTTGTGAAATTTACGCAGATTTTTTTTTATTCTATTCTTTTTCTTTGAGAAGAAGCAAACTCCAGTGCTGTGAAAATGGGGTCAAAATTTGAAGTATTAATTTAAGATTTTGTTCATAATTATAGTTAACATAACTTTGACTGGCCAGTTACCAGCTGGTAGAATTCCCACATTTATATTAGTAAATTGAACAAAAAAACTTTCTTGCATTATCTTGAATTTCTTGATGAAATGCTATGCTCTTCAACCACTGATTGGCAGAGGGAGGACCACAGGGTTAGTGCATGGCGAGACATTACAACAGAGTTGCTAAAAAATACTGTGATACCTACTTGTTTTTAAAGCACTAGCTAAGACAAATACCAAACTGAGATTGCAGTAGCATATGATTTTTCTTGTGCACAATTTTTTCTTACTAATAACCTTGATTCCAGCCAGACCCATTTACATATGACTTTTTTTTAAGGCATCGCTTATTGCTGTTCTTTGAATGAAGTTGCATTTATGTTCCAGCTGTGAACATGCAGCAGTGAAATCACAGAGTATAAATGTTTTCCTGTGTGCAGATTCTGTATGTTTTCAGTAGATATCTCTATGCCTGCTTTAACACTTGCCATATTCCAGTAACTGAGCTGTGGGCCATCCTCTATCCTGAGCACAGCATGAGACACAGCCTTAATGAGCAAACCTTTTCACCAGCAAGGCCCTAGGGTTTTTTATGCTGTAGTTGCTTATGACTTGTACTTTTCACTTAGAGCTGGCGTTGCTGCAAGAATAAAGCATTGTGCTAAGGCCTATTGTGCTAAGCATGAACTGTCTTTCTGCATAGCATTAACCCAACTGTCCTATTGCATTTAGGTGCAATTTCTTCTAATAGACAAATATAGGTTTGTTTTTTCCATACATCTTAAGTGAGCTGTTACACAGAATGTATTTTTTAAAGAGCCCTTTTATTGGAAATAATTGGATATACTGGCAAAAAAAAGGGCTTTTTCAAGCAAGATTGGGTTTTCTTTGTAGCACTGGTTGCATGTACAACTATATTGTAAATTCATAGCTGTAAGTCATTTGCAAAATATCTTTGAACATTCTGTTTGCAAGCTGTAATCCTTGGGAGTCAGGCATCTGTCTCCCTCCATTAGTTCAAGCAGTGTCTGCTCAGCAGCATCAAACTAGAGGGTTACAACAGGGAGCTTCAGTGCTTGACTTTAAATTACCTTGACTGTAAAAGCAGGAGTAAAGATATGGCAGCTAGAACTGTGACACATCTTAGAGTTCCCACTAGGCAGAAACCTGGTTCTTAGTCAAAACTAGTTCTCATTGTGTCTTAGCTGGTACTCTTGTCCCTGCTCTGTGTTCTGCAGTCACCTTTTCACTTGTCTCTGCAGCAAAGACCAGAGGCCAGCAGTGGTGTGCAGGAGTAGAAACTTAAACCAAGTGACAGGAGAACAGCGAAGCTGTCTCTGCCACTTGATTCTCCAGGATTGGTGAAGCTGTTGTAGGATTGGTAGAAGGATTGGTAGAAGCTTCATCCTGCATCGTAGGTAACTGTGAGTGGCAGGCTGCTCCTGCTCCAAATAGTAAAGTATAGCTTCACACGCTTCAGCATGAGGGAAGGATGAGGCAAATATTTAGAAATACTTCTGTGCATTTCTCCCTGCTCAATAGGATTTGACCCTATTTCTGCTGCATCTTATACAACAGACACCTTTGAGTCTGATCTCTGCAAATTCCTTTGTGTGGATCTCAAAAAGCCTCTAGCACAAGGGAATCAGGAGCATTTGGTGGAGTAAAATATATCCATAGTTGCCATGGAATGGGAGACTTCTCTTGAAAGAATATTTGACTTTGTGATGGTAGTATATGTAGCTCAGATGAACATCTTATTAGAGGAAGACAGTGAGAAGACATGAAATCCATATATCACCTATGATGCCCTGTACCTGCAGGTGATCATTTAACCATGGAATTTAGAGAGACTGGTGGACCCTAGCCATTTCTAAGGGCTTCTGATAAGAGTGTCACTAAAGGCATCTCCCATCCCAACAAACTCTAAATTCTCCAGATAACGAGATGACAAAATATGGAGGAAGTAATGTGATTATAACTTGCAAAATGAGCCATTCACAGCTTACCCACTCTCAGACATTGAACAGTCAGTGACCCAGATAGGTATTTCAGTGGAAAGCTGATTTGCAGCTTTGTTGATTTTTGCAGGGAATTTTTCCCATATGTCCAGGATGCTCTTCCGTGGATCTAAAGTGACTATACCTGGCAATGAAGTGTGTGTGCTAGGTCTTTTTTTGAAAGATTTCTTCTTTTTATCAGGAAGAGCTTTTGCTGATCCTTGATCCAGCTAGGAGGCTGTTGATGGAGGTTTTTGTACAGCCACGTGTACAGAAGCTTAGCTGCAGGTTCTTTCATCACATAGCAATAGGATGCATGAAGACTACTTAGGGCACCCCATCATCCCAACTTCTTTGTTTTATTTTTGTTTCTTAAACCCTGATCACTAACTTTACTTAACCACAATGCAAATAGTCTTAGTAAGTAGGGAAAGCTCAAGTGGAACAGAAGACAGATGCTGTCTTTTTTAATGATAGAAAATAAGTCAATGTAAGTGGTTTTACCAAGAAATGGGTACTCTTTGAGCAACCCTGGCCATGAAGCCTCTTCTGTTACAAAAGCAGGGCATCACCATAATCACCCCTGTAACTTCTTTTGATCAACTGCCATCGACTCTTCAGTCAGTTTTCTGATTAGGTTAAAAAATATATGAAAACCTATGAATTTTGGGTAGGTAGTTTTACAAATGCTATGGAAAGAAGTGCTAGTGCAGATGTTCACACACAGCACCTTTGCTGTTGTTTTAGTAGTGTCTCGGTTTGACACCCCAAGACAAGTAGGTAGTTTAATTTAAGGTGAAACTCCTGAGTTTTCATTCCCTGTGAAGCCCAGGCAAACCTGTCACAGGTTACTAGCCTGGCCACTCTCAAGAGGCATTAATCATTAACCTGAAGAGGGCATATTTCATTTGTTACTACAAACAGACTGGGTCAGGAGAATGCCATTATCTGTAGGTGAAGATTAGCGGAAATTTAATATGATGTACAAGCAACTGACAGATGTCTCTTGATACGACTAAAGGAAAAAAAAAAGCTGAAGAAGCTGCCAAGCTGACCAAAACCACCCCTCTTCCCCTGCCTGCTTGTCCCTGGGATGGCTTCTGAAGGTGTGGTGCTGGTGCAGGTGCAGGGTGGAGGCCAGTTCTCCTGTCCTTTGCATTGGTGTGAGACTCATTTCTGATTGTGGCTGTTGCAGGGTTACCCTTTCTCTCCTTTTGAGCATACACTCAAAACCAGTCTGCTGCTGCTTTCTTATATTTAGGGGCTGCTGTTTCTGCATCAAACTGCAGAGTTTGTTTGGCTTCTCTTGTCCTAACCTGATTTATTCTTCAATCCTGAAAGGTTGAATTAAGCAGCTCCAATTGCCTTGGAACGAGTCTTCCTTGTTGGGAAATGTCATATTCTGTTTTGTGCTGTACAAAATGAAGGATTGAAGAGTTTGAACCTTCTTTTGTCATGAAAGCTCTGTTCCCTGTGGTTCTTGCCATGCCACTCAGTGATTTTGCATTTTGGTTTAAGAACAATGACCCCAGAAGGATGCTATCTGTTTTAATGAATTCTTACTCGACCTCCATGTTTAGATTCACTAATCATATGCTTTCTGTTGATTGCTGACTAATCTGGTGGTGTCTTTTTCCTTGATTTTTAAATTGGTTCTAACTTTCACTTTTGCTCTGTCCTTTCCTCCTTTTAAATAGTTTTTCTTACCTCTTGCTGCAAGAATGTCTCAGGAGTCTTACTTTGAATCTAAAACAGAGGAGTCAAACAGTGCAGAGATGTCATGTCAGATCACAGCAACAAGTAACGGGGAGGTAGCTGGCATGAACCAAAGTCTGAAGGCCTTGATGATGACGGGCTTTGGGGATATCTTCTCTCTGAACAAAGCAGGATCTGTCCTGCATTCTGGAATGCAGATAAACATGCAAGCCAAAAAGAATTCTTCTAAAACCACCTCTATGAGAAAAGGGAAGAAAATCAACATGGCTTTGGGTTTCAGTGAATTCGACTGGTCAGATGACGATGATGATGATGATGATGATTTTGATGACACAGATGATAGCAGCGAATGAAATAAGTTGTAGAGTTAACCCTGAAATCGTTTTAGCAAAGTAAAACAATAAAGTTTTAGAACAAGAATCCTGTCAGTTTGGTCTGTTTAAATCCTGTAAAAGAACAAAAAACAAACAACAATGAAAAGATATTTACCAGGCTGAGCATATTTGTATGTAGAAAGATATGTTGTTTTTGTTTAGATTGTGCTGACTTATTTCTGCTTTGATGAAATTTGGAACTAAACTTTCCAAACTAATTGAGATTATTATTATTTTATCATTATATCTGTAATTCCTAGTGCCTGATTACAGAAACTGTGGCTTGATAAATTTAAGATCTGGAAACACTGGGAGAAACTTCAATGCCATTAATGCCATTAATGTACTTCAAATTTTTCTTTCGTGTTTTTTGTCATTTTCCTTACCCCTTTAATTGTCAGTCATATGCATATGCTTGTACTTCCAGATTTGCTATTTTCTACATCCATTCTTTCTTACTGTTGTAGTGAAGAGGTTTGCTGTGTTTCTTAATTTAAAGCCTTTTTCAAGGCAGCATTGTGGGAAGTCACTAATAAGTTTCTAGGAACAGAGAAGCTTGGGGAGGGAGAGAGGGGTTAGTTATATATATATATATAGTTTAAAAATGAAATAGCAGCAGAGCTCAGATAATCCTTATTAGTAGATGATTTCTATAAATGTTCTTTTTTTTCCCCCTCACGTGTATGTGCATGTGTGTATAATTCACTCTAGCAAAGTAAACTGCAATCAGACCTCTGCATCTATTATCAGATATTGTGATCTAGAAGCTAATTTTCAGTTATGTTGATGTGAATCCATGAAGCCTCATTAACTTTGATGGACTTATTCTTGTACCTGAGAGCAAAAATCGGTGTTTGTAAATTTTGATTCTATTGTATCTGCTAAACAGTGTGTGCCATCCTTGGGAAAGGATAAAGAGAAGCCACTGTGACATTTCAGCTTGGGCCCTACTACCGTGGCTTGTATGAAATTCTCCGTAGTAGAATCTGGCAGTAATGTCAGGAACATTTACTAGACTCTGCATAAGTGTTTTTTGCAGCCACATTACTTTCAAAGTATTGTCAACTGCTGTTACAGCTTACCATAAAACTCAGTGTCTAACAGTCTGCTGCAATAATTGCCTGCCAGGCACTTAGGTTGAGAGCAGAGAGGATGTTTCTCCTGATGACCCCTTTAGTGGTGATGCAGAAGGAGGGAGGGAAACCAGTGCAAACACAGATGCAGGTTAGAAAGGAAGATGTTGTAAAATATTTGCCAAGGAGGAAGGGCAGCATTTCAAAAGAAAGATGTTATTGTGTAGTTCAGCAGTAGTGGGAATAAGCCATCAAAATTCCATTCTCAATTACTGGAAGGGTTTCTTTTATAAAACTTCTGTTTTTGAGTGGCTTCTTTAATTATAGGCTTGCCTGTTACACAGCTCTAACCTATATATTATGGTGTTTTGTGGATAGCTTAGAGAAAAATGGATACGTTAGATAACAGCAGGCCTGAAATCATTACCTGTTCACTCAACAAAGCAAAGTTCTTTGAAGAAGTTTTTCTAGAGTGGGCACCTCTTTGGGTTGTGAGAAAGAAAGAATTGTTTTATCCTTAAGCATCAGCACTGATCCAGTCACCTGCAAGTGCTGTGCTCAGGCTGGCCTGCTCCGTTCGCTTTGCACGGGATCTTAGTTCCTGCAGGATGGCATTTAACCTTCTTCCAAACACTCCCAAACCTGTTGACTTGAACTTAACCCTCTTGTATCTGGAAGCTTTTCTCATTATCAAATTATCATTTAAATGATGCAGTAAATGTTCAAAGTATCCCAAAGAGAAACTCTTGGCTCATGTGTGGATGACTTCTTAGGTCCATCAAAGTGACCTGATTTTTGAAAGAAAAAGAGAGTTGGAAGGGCAAATAATGGAATGGATATAAGAACAAATAGCCTTTTCCAGTGTAGATTTGTACTATTTTTGTAAGTCTACGTCTGCTAACACCCCACAGCAATGACACTATTTTTGTCACTGCCACTTTGCACTCAGCGAAATTTGATGGATTTGTGTAACATAATATGTGCACTTTAGGTCTCAAGATGTGTATCATTGTGCATAAATTATCACAGAAGCAGTGTAGGGATGTACAACTGAAAACAAAATTTGGTTCAGTAAATGTCTAATTCAAAAACCCCAAAAAATCTGTTCCTAGCATTGATATTTTGCACTTTTTGGTGTTTGACAATCTTGGAGCACTTCATGCACATTTATGTTTGTGTAGGTTTTAAGTGAATTTGTAAATTAACTCCTTAATCTTTACAGAAATAAAAATAGTTTTTAAGTAGTATGACACAGATATTCATTGCTGCAACATCACAAGGTTTAAGTCTGTCTTCAAGGTTTTGTGCTTACCCAAGTGTTGTAACTTATATCAGCAGATATCATCAGAATGTGGTAATGTGCTTGTAGTGATTTCTACCTACTTGGTTCAATATTTTTTAACGAAGCAAGATGGATTTTTTCCCCCTTCACCTTTGTCCCCCATGTTGTTTCTCAAAGCAAATGAGACTATATTAAGGAAAAGTTCAAGTTCTTCTAAAACTTCCCCATGCATTTAAAGTAGCAAAGGTGATCTCTGAATTGTAGATAAGGTGATAACGTGACAAATTCTTCTGATGCAGTTGAGATAGTATTATACTTCGAATATTGGCTATGCTTACTAAAAAAGCAGTGGTATTAATTGCATTTTTACTTTCCTCTGATGAGTTTCGCACTAGTTGTCTCCAGTTTACAAGCCAGTTATCATATGTGAGAATCAAGCTGTGTTGTTTCTGCCTCTGAAACGCTTCTCACTAGATAAGGGCTTTGAAAAGTGGCTCTGGTGGGCAGGTATGGTGGTTGGAGGAGGGCAGAGTATTTCGTCTTCCACACCTGATTTTGCTCTGCAGTGTATCCAAGTCCATCTTCTACCTGTCTCATCCTCAGGTTATACAAATCTCCACAGCAGTCCACAGCCACATTTTGTGTCAGCTAATGAAAGCATTAACCAAACCCAGAAGGCATTTCTCTGGCTGCTCTGGGCCAAAGCCCAAACAAGCCACCAAAAGCCTTCCTGTGCCTTGTACACCTCTCAGCTCAATAGGCCCTGCCAGGCCTTTTGGGTTCCCAATTTCCTCTGGCTTCCATAAAGCCTGAAGGTATTTGTAGTAAAAAAATATCACTGCATTTGATGGAGGGGAAAGGTAAGAACCAGGCCTGAACTTGGCATATTTACCAGGCTGCTGTGCTGCAAACATTAACTTAGGTGGGTAAATGGCCTCAGAGAAGAATGGGGAGGATTGACTTTTGGCTTGCTTAATGGTCAGCTGGGACCAAGACAGGATGTCCAACTCCCAACTCCTTTTCTTTCCTTAGCAGTGGTGAAAAAATACGGAAATGGGATTACTGAAGGAAAACTGTTGATCTAGTCATTTTTGTGACAATGTCATCACTAATTTCTTGGAGTAGCAAGTGCCTTAGGGTACAGTGTGGGTGTGCTGCATTGCCAGCCGTTGTGTGCTCCCTGACAAGGAGCTCGTCCCCTCTGGACTGGAAGGGCTTTCTGGAGGTGAGGTCTGGCGTCGCCTCTTGTCACACAGTCATGTTCATGGCTTGTCATTTGCTTATCATTCCAGAGGTTTCCTTAGATGTTGATTCCCTTTCCTTCTGGGTTTTAAAGTGTTTATTCTGAGTTAAATATCTGATGCAGTAATGATGGGTATTGCTCTCAGCAGTAGCAATAGATCTGTAGTGTGCATATAGCTGTTAAGTATTGAGCAGTGTTACTGTGTGTTTTTAGTGGTGTACTTCCTTTATCTGTAATCAGGCAGCTTTTACAGGTTTTTAATAGGACCTCTGACTTGACAGAGGTTTTAACTACAGTCCTATGTAGAATGTTCAGGTAGAAAAAGTAAGTTCATTTAGTAATTTTCACAGCCCTTAAAATGCACTGGTAGGAATCTGGAGGAGAGACCTTTCCCCTTTCCCCCAGGCTTCAACTTAGTGTACACTGTAAAATCTGCACAGAGATTTCTGATGTGTGAAGATTTAATTTTAAAACTATAGAACCAATGACTTTCTTTTAACATTTTATATTGTGTGCTAAATACTCATATGCCTTTTAAAGTCAGATATAGTCCACTGCATTTCTTGCTTTTGCACTACTGAAGAAGTTTTGTACTGAATAGTAGGAGTCGATGCTATTTACACTTCAGGTTTGAACTGATGGAATTTGAATAGAAAATATTTTCACAATGTTAGAAAACTTCATTCTCCCTTCTGAAAAAGCAAAGCTGAGCGCAATGCCTATGCCAAGACTCTTGTGCTGTAAACTGAATATATCATTTGTGTGGAACATGCAATGTTACACTTGTGTGTGGTAAAATCTTGCAGTGTCAGTTATTCTCTTTATTGCACTTGACATATCATGTCTTGTTTTATTCACACTGTGGATTCGATTTTCCAGTGTAAAACCAAAGCAAACAAACAAAAAGAAATCATACAATGTATTCAATTTCCTCAATTGGTGTCATAAACTTTCCTTTGGTGTGAACTTTTCCCTTGCTTCTCTTTTGTTCCAAACTTCTATTTTGCAATAAACATTTTGACAGTAAATTTTATGCATTTGTGTCACTGTGTAAAACACTAGCGTTCCAAAAAGTTTCTTATTGCCTGCTGGTTTAAGTCACTTTTCTGTATTACTAACTGTGTGACGTTTCTCCTTTATTCTCCCATTAAGAAAAAAAGACAAGAGAGAAATAATACAGAACTATTCTGCCACTTCTGGTTTAAATATAACCAGAAGGAAGCAGAAAAAACTGTACATCTAAAAATGCATTATTGGACTTCTGCAGTAAATTTTTCAGTTGTACAAATCATTGTACCAGGCTCCTGCTGCAGCACCAGCCAGTTTGACTCTAAGTACCTACAAAAGGCACAACTCTCAGAACAACTGCTGAGTGTGTTCATTATTGCCACTTGCCCTCCCTTGTCCTTGTCCTTTAGTGTTGCCCCCAGCACTACTCTTGCCCCACAGTGTTCTGCCCAGGTCACTCAGTGTGCAGCTGGAGGTGCCGGGGTGAGGGCCTGCCATGGGGACATGCTTGGCTGGTGGGTGGGGTCTGGGGACCCTGGGGGTGGCAGGGCTCTCTGAAGGAGGCGACAAAGCCATGGGGGCTCGGGTGTAACTGAGCTGAGTGTCTCATAAATCACTGTTATCTACATCAAAAAGTTTGCAACTACATCATGATATTGAGCTTCTGGGAGACGCTGACTGTCGAAATACAGATCTACAACAATTAATGGTAACCCCTTAAGCTGAATAAAAATGCCAAGAGGATGACACTTTAGATACAATACACTTGAATGAGTAAAATGACAATCACTATTACAGTGACATCTTCTCCTCTGTCAGTTTTCAAATCATCCCAGAATTTCATTTAACGCAGCCATTCCTCCGTGGGTTCCTAGTGCTTCAAGAGCTAACACCATCTTGCATCCAACAAAGTGTAGGAGGCTGGGAAGTGCTGCACTCCTCCAGCCTTACAGGAGTCGTTACACAGCAGTGGCAGAAAGCAAGAGAGACTTGTCTGTACGTGGGTGGGAAGACAGTCTGCAGTGGCCAGACTCCAAATTCTGTTTTCACTGCTGTCCAGTGAAAGTTTTCCTTCCTTTTGCAGAAAGTATCCATCATCTGGGAGGGAGTCCTAATGCCAGCATTATTTTCATTGCAGACCAAAGCCATAGGAAAAACCTTCCTATAGTGTCAGAACCAAGAGGAGAGGCAGATAGAGTCCCTTGCCATCAGATGGTTTACTTTTGCTTCCTAAGTTGTTTTTGTTGAAGATCTGCTGGTAATTTTATCTGCAGAGAGGGACAGGATCGATTTAACACTGCCAACACGCTGTTGGAGCCAGCCCACAATCAGTGTGAATCCAGTGGTTTAGTACATCAATATGAGTTGCAGCTAAAGTCCTGCACTTTGCAGGGGAAAAGGAACAGAATAGTATCAGCCACCAAAGTAAAATTTGGGTGGAGGGGAGGAAAATGGTCAGATGGTTTTCTTTTCAATTCGTATCTCTCACACAGTTGCTGCCCTCCTTTGATATTTGTGCGTGGACCGAGGAAGATGTGGTGAGTATTTTGTGTTAATGTGGCCAGGCTGGTGATGCTGGAGCTCTCTGACAAATTACAGTGGGCGTGGTGGGAGGGAAGGCCAGATCAGAAAATCTAGGTGAGATTTTACTGCTGTTTGTTTGGTGAAACTTGTGTCCCAGAAAGTCCTGAAAATGACCAGAAGCAAATTAAGGATTTGAATTACCTTCATAAAACAGCCACATTCTCCAGTGTCCAGAAAATAGTGGGAGCTGGGAACTGAGAGCAGCCAGGAGGGAATTCCTGGGTCCTTGTTTAAGGAATGTGGAAGTGCCCAGTGACCTGATCCTGGACAGGATAAGCTCAAATGTTTTATAGTTTTATCCCATTGCCACCTGGATGGCAATTAACTGAAAAAAAGTTTAGGGCTTTTTAGGGGGTGTGGAATCTCTCTTTCATATAAAATAACGGCATTGAGTACTTTATACCTTTTTATTCAGTTAAAAGGCTAAACAAGACACATCAGTGATTTATCTCTGACATAGTGATGTGTCAAAATTATGTTAATGTCCTATCAAGCACTCCCTTTGTGTCTTATGCATCATGGGGTTGTTTGGCTGACATTTCCCAAAGGACTGTCTGGAAAGCCAGTACAAAAACCATAAAAGATCTGGCTCCTTCACTTCAGCTCTTTTAGCACATGACATTTCTCAGCTTCAGCTTTGGTCATTTCAGTTCTTCATGACAATAAACTGAGAAAGGGGGCTGCAAAATGGAAGGCAGTTTGGGAAAGCTGCCCAAGAAGTAATCACTTGCATTGGTGAATCCCAAGTCCTTTATCCCAAAGTGAGAAGTATTTTAAATTTTGTTTTATAAAAGATAATTACTTGTGAACTCCAAATAACTGTAATACAAAATTTTGATAATTTGAACTTCAAGATTGATTCCTCTTTTTTGCAGTTTTTCTGGATGCAACAACTTACTAGAAAAGGTAAAAGCTACTCGTATGTCCTTTCATGCTCGCATTTATGCACTAATATACATTTGTTCATTTTCCCCCCTCCAATAATGTGCCATGTGGATTTCTGAATAACCTCTTTTATCTTAAGGCGATGCTTCTGGTGAAATGAGTGTCTATGCTAGCTTGTTTAAGGAACATCATATCACTGGGAAGCAATTGCTTCTTCTAGAAGAAGAGGATTTAAAGGAGATGGGAATTGTTTCCAGAGGACACATCATCCATTTAAAGGTATTATCAGCATATATTGCATGTTACAGTAAGTTATAGTGTGAATATTATGGAGTCTATGGAGTTTCAGTAGTATTAGCAACAAAAAAGTTCAAAGCTAAATAGAGAACATATTTGGTATCTAAAATAAACAGAATTATAGTTTCATATGCATCTAGAACTCAAAGCAACCTGAGCATTTTTTGAGGCATGAAAATGTGCTGTGGTCTTTATACTGTTCTGTAGTTCTTGGTTTTCTTGTGAGCTGGACAGCAGTACTGCTGCATCTTCACCTAGGAGGGCCATTCTCCCAGCAGAAAAACTTGGGAATCTTCAGAGAGAACTCTCTTTAGCTGAAGGAGAAACAGATACAAAACAGTTATTTGAACTGAAATCTCAGCTTCTCCATTTCCACATCTCATTTATACCGTAAAGCATATTTAGACTAGCAAAACTCAGTTGGACAACTTTAAAGCTGACTGACAGGTTTCTTTGCTCTTAGAACTTTGCTTTTAAACAGTGTTTTAAATGTCTAATGTTTGTAATGAGTTAAAAAAATCACGGTCTGGAAAATGTGATCATGACAGCAGTAATGTATTAGTACTGTAGCCACACGAGAGAGTTTTCTGGCAGTCAGCTTTGGAAAAGGGATTCTATAAAAGCAGCGTCTATAATTCTGTAGAGTCTCAATCATTTTAGAGCCCAATTTGCTAGTAAAGAGATACTTGTATTGTAATTGCTGGTCCTACAAATTTAGCTTTGTAAGTCACACAGATTTATTCCCCTTTTGCTCATCAGCCATTTTATCCATGGCCACACACCATTACTGATATATTTAATTTATATTGCCTACAGGGAAAATTATTGAAACTTAATGAAGTCAATAATGTCCAAAATGAAAGATCTCAGCTTCCTGGGTTGATTTGAGCATAAATAAAAACAACAAAAACAAGCCCCCTGAACATTTATTTTTCTGATTAATCAGATCTGATTCTGAATACAAACCAGGCCCAATCTACCACAGGGCTATATTTTAAACTCTTCTCACATGCTCTAATGTATCCACAGTGGAAAACAGAGGGCGTGTGGGGTTGTGCTGTTTTTCATGCTTGTATTTGCAGGATGAGATACTAAATAACTCCCATCTGGTTTTGTTGATTTTTTTTTTCTAGACTGCTATCGAGAAGTTAACCCATGACTACCTAAATCTATTTCATTTTCCACCATTAATTAAGGCAAGTCTCACTGTTGATATAAGACGTGCTACTCATGCTGGTATGAATATTTCACTGTTCTGATGTCTCAACTTAACCCCATTCAATGGAGGGTAAGGTTGCAGTTCTACAGAGGGTTGTAACAAATGTGGAGAGTCAACAGCAGCAATGGGTCACATCAGAACAAATAATAAGATAATAGAAATTGTTTTCAGGGAAGTTCTAAGTTTGTATCATGGAGCCAGTAGAATTAAATTAAACGACAACTGGTTGCAATGTGCTTGCTGTCATTAATCAGAAACTACTTTGAAGAGTCATTCCTCCAAACTGCTGCCACCAACTGGTCACCACTGAAGAACAGCAGACCCCTGGTCCAGAATAAGCCCATAATTCCCCAGTTTGCTAATGCTGTAGGAGGGAAGGATGAATGGATGATTTTGTGTCTTGCCACCCTTACGTTAACCCGTTAGTTTTCTGATAATCAGTAATAAGACCCATGCAAAAGGGAGAGGGTGTTTGGGAACTTTGGTGTTGCTAGAGCAGATATTTGCCTTATTTAATTCAGTAAGCTAACCAAGGAATTCTAGACCCCAAATCCTGAAGTATCTTTTTTAGTCATAATTTATTGCACAGCGATAGAGTGAAATCCACGTAAAGCAAATTTTCATATAGCAGAACTCTGTTCCCTGGAGGGGAAAATGAAGAGCATTGCTGCTCTGCTTTGCTGTGCCAGCTGCAATTCCACTGGCAGAGGCTGTCACAGCGTTCGCAGGGACAGCACACTGTGCCAGAGCAGCTCAGCCAGGAGCAGAAAGTGTACAGCATCTCCCAGTTGCCATCCACTAAGTTGCCAGCCCTAAACCCATGCAGAAGCCTTTGCCCCTCTTGGAGTGTGATGTCTCCTTTCTGCTGCCTGCCAGACTTGTGACACCTGAAAGGCAAATCCTTTCTGCCACCAAAGGGTGTGCTCCTGTCTCCCAGTGGGTTATGGTAGATGTGAATTCTCACCTTTGCCTGGTTTTTTTGGCAGGATTCTGCAGGTGGAGCTGAAGAAAGCATAGAGAAAGTAGTGAATCTTGAACTT